GGAATGGCATTAGAGAAGCAGTATGCACCAAGGCTCCAGGGAATCAAGAGCTGTGCTAGACAGAACAAAGGGTTTTTCTTTGGCCCAGAGCACAGGTAAATAAACGTCTGACATTCACAATATCCAGCCACAAGGAGGCCCACTGCTCAGTTAGGCCTTTCATGAAGAAGTCCCCTCTGTCCTGTTTCAAACTCCTGCCCTGCTGATGTTCTTTGATGCCCCCAGTTTTTAGTATTAACAAGGGATTGCCTGTTCACTGTCACTTCTCTTTTCTTTATGCTCTTTGTGCTTTCAGAAACCTCTTTCCTGTGCCTCTTTCAATTGGTTGCTTTCTGTGCAGCAAGAAATTACAAACTTTCTTGGTCATTTCTTCTCCTGCAGCCATTCTAATACCGCCAGTCACCTTTTTTGCCTTCTTCACAGTTCCTTCTGTTGCAGTACATCATTTTTGATCTTTGGTGGAGATGGAGTAATTATGATTATACAGATGCAAACAATCTCAGGATTGATCAGAGGATCAGAACGTAGCAATGTTCCCTCCTGATAACAACAGTTTGCCTCCTGATAACAACAGCTTTACTTTCTTGACTGCAGTTGAGATGAAGTTTTCACGGGATACTCATAAGCCTAACAATTTACTCTTGAGAAGTAACTTTGTATGATTAGCTTTTTTCTTCCCTCTGTCAATACATTTATAACAAATAACAGGAATGAATTTCATCCACCATTTGATTTTCCGTTTGTTTACACTTAGAAGTTCCCTTTGTAGTTCTTTGCAAACTTCCCCTGTCACTGTTGCAACAGCAATGGCAACTACAAAACTGGTATAATCCGCAAACGTAACTGCACTCCCTGGAATGAGCGGACAACGTGCTGGTGTCCTTTCTTTAGGGCAGGGACCGACCGTTTATTCTTCATTGTTTTATCTCTCTTTTAATCAACTGTTCATATGTAAACCTTACTTCTTGTGACATGACTTCCTGTACTACTATAGCTTTTTCCTACAGGAAAAGCTATTTCCTGTCTGGTTTTCAATGGATGGCAGCACAGCCTTCTGGTTTGTCTGCCACTCCTCCCAGTTTTGTGGCATCAGCAAACTTACCGACTGTGCACTCTCTTCCTCCATCCATGTTGTTGATGAATATATTTAATTGTACTTATCCCAGTACTGAGGGACTCAACCAGACACAGGCTGCCAACTGGACTCTGTCTCATTGACCACAGCTCTCTGGCTTTTTTCCTTCCAACAATTCACAGTCTACCTCACTACCCAATCGTCCAGACCACACTTCCTCAGTTCATCTGTGAGGATGCTCTGGGATGCTGCCAGATGCTTTACTAGAATCAAGATAGACCACACCCACTGCTTTGCCATCATCTATCCACCTGATTATGTCTGCTTAAAGTGCTATCAGGTTGGCCAAGCATGATTTCCCTTTTGTGAAGCCATGTCGACTGTTCCTAATGGCCCGCTTGTCCTTGATATGCCTAAAGACAGTGCCAAGGAGAAATTGTTCCATCATCTTTCCAGGGATGGAGGTGAGGCTGTCCGGTCTATAATTATCCAGGTCCTCCACACTTTTATAAGCATAACAACTGATTCACTACTCCACTTCTTTGCTTTTCCCTCCTTTAATCAAGATATCTTTTAAGAAAACAAAAATTTATAAATATTGTTTTTAATATACACTTATTAAGTAGTAAGGGAATACATTCTTGTAACTGAAGCTTATACCATGTCATATCTTGCAATGGGTTCAGATGAAGGTTGTTGAGGCAAAGAACTGTGGCATTTTCTTGTCCTTTAGAGCTTCATTCCATGTAACTTGAATCTTTCTGCCTCCCCTACCACTCTGTCACAGTACTATAAAAAACACTGGGAAAAAAAGGTAAAATTTTTCACGTGGTCAAGGCTAGCAAAGATATCAAAGAGGAGTCAGGGACTTGAAGAAGAAAGGGATCTCCTTCCACTTCTTATATTGGAAGATGAAGGGTTGAGACCAGGTCTGCTTGTCTCATGGATGTCTTCGAGGGGAATCAGATGAGTGAGGAGAAGCCTGCATGCACCACTCATAAAAATCTGCACCACAGATGCAGAGGTGAGCCATGATCACTGTCGCCATTGTTGAAAAGCACCACTCACCTCACTGTGCTCACATCCACTGTTTGGTCTCCATAAATGTTCAGCAAACATCAGGGAATGTCAATGGGTGCAGTTTTTCCCACAGATGGCTCATCCAGAAAAAATCATCTTCAGTACTTTTGCTGTCTGTTTACATGTTCAGCTGAGCTGAAGAACTATTTTATCCTACACACACACACACAGGGCATAGTAAGTAAAAAACCCTCACAAGTATCTCCCTATTCTGTGTTTGATCCTCTGTGTTGGAGAAATTTACTTCTTCATAAAATGACAATTCTGAATTTCTCTCTTGTAACTTGCCAGAAGTAAATCTGAAAGCCAGCTATTTTATCATGAAATACATTTTGAATTCACTGTTTTTGAATTAAAAGCCAATTAAAATCCGTGTTTTTTACAGTGCTCTGATTAGTCTTTCTGAAATCACTGCAAAAAACATTTTATTCTGTTAATTGAATGTATATTTATTGCCATACAAGCATTAAAACAGCACTAAAAGACCTTGAATGCTGGAAAGTCATGGAACTTACTTTAGTCAAATGTTTCTAAGTGATCTGTCATGATTTCCTCTACCACTAAATAAAGTATTAAATATTTAGTAAAATATTTTTGACATCTCTGAATCACATGGTAACAAATCCTTTCTTCAAACTTTGCTGTGTCTCCAGCTAATCCTGCTTTCCTGTGGAGAACCAGTGCCACGGTTCATGGATTCAGGCTTTCTTTTTTTTTTTTAAGTAAATCCATTATAGAATATTTTGTGAATAGCAAAATAAAATTCCTAGGTATATTTCATGCAAAATTTACAGGAAGATATATTCAGGAAAGGAATATATTTATTAATCTGTATTATTCTGATTTTACTTTTGCAGGTTTTTTGTTTGTATTAAGTTAGCTTTACTTTCAAATATATGAGCAGCATTACTAAATTACTAAAAACTGTGCAAGGTTAAATAGATAGAACTTGCGTACTTTAAGTATTTTTCCTCTTTTTTTAACTTATGTTCACATGTGGCATACAATGATATCTATGTTTCTGTATTTTGTGCAGTTTTGTAAATGATGAAAACAGAAATATGTACCCGGTTCGTGTCTAACAGGAAAAAGGCACAAATAGCTTGCATCTTGCATCATTTGTAAGTACAGTTCTACTGTATTTCAACATTTGAACAGGCAGTTATTTACATAAACACATTTTAAATCTGCTTACCTAGTTTATTCTAACACTCCGAAAGTTCCAAGATAAACTGCTGTATCAGTGCAATATGATGTAAAACATGAAATACCTGTAGCAGTTTTAAAATATGAAAACACTATTGCTTGTCTGCTGGGGAAGAGAGTTTGAGATTTATTTATTTATTTATTTATTTTTAAAGAAACAGAATACAAACTTTTTGCTGCGTTACATTTGTTATTATCATCTCACTGGTGCTGTAAGTTCCCAGTGCATTTCTCGGTTGAAGTTTAATCTTTCATACTGGCCATTTCAAACAGCAAGGTGAGGCATAGCATGGATCTCAGGTCAATAATCTGGATATGAACATAGCTCAAGACAGTGACAGTTTCACCAGCCAGGCTTATTATCTCAGTTAGTTTGTACAGGTAGCATTAGAGAGATGGAAAATGTGGAAGATGCAGAGATTGCAGAGGGTGGAAGGTAAAGATAGTGGCTTAGGGAAGAGAAGGGATGGTGGATGTGAGTTGGGATTGCAAGCATTTGCAAACTTTCTAATTTTATTGTATTCAAGAATTTTTCTAAGTGACAGAGGAAAAATGTAGTTATTTACAGGATTTTTTTGCACAGTTTTCAAGATATCCCAGTAGATTTTGAAATCACACAGACAAAAAAGAGGAGGGAATAAAATACACAGCACAAAACATCAAGTGTAAGGCATTTATGCATATGCATATATGTAAAGTCTATTCTATAATGTTTGAAGTAATTCCAAGCTATGCTCATACCCTTCTTCGCTGGTTGCCCAAAAAAGGCAGCATAAATGACTGTATGTCAATCAACTGCCAGGTGGAAAGTAAGAACCTTCATCTCTGCTATTATTAACAGGTAATAGACTTCAAATATTTTCCCTTTGTGTATCATAATGAAACCATGATTTCTCGTATAATAGGAAAGAAAAGAACATCTGTTGCTCAAAGTAACAGCAACGGCATGCTTGCCTAGAAATTGAGAATGTTTTCAATTTGTGCTCTGTCTCGTTCACTTTATCTTGTTCTTAAGCCTAAGTCTCTCACCAAGGCAAGTGTTCTAGTCACAAAAAGTCTGGGCTCTTCTAATATCTCTCTTCTTTTTGCCTGGAATCACCCTATTTAACTATTTCTTGCTGAACAGGACAGGCAAAAAAGAGGGTTATTTTGTAGCTCAGTGACTGTAGCACCACAGTTTTTCCTTACAGCTATAGTTTTGAGGAGGAGTACAGTGCTGAGACATCTTCTCTGTTGAAATCAGCATGTAAAGGAAACACTTTGTTTTTATTCATCTTAGTGTAGCATATTTCATGAAAGGAAGTGGAATAAAGATCGCTTTGTATAAGTTGGAACCCCAAACACATTTTGCATGGCATGGGAAAGATACAGAAGTTTTCTTATATATATACCTTGTTCTGATCTTAACATTATGGCTCGTTTATGCTTAGTTGCTAGTTTTGTTATAAATATGAACATTTAAATGAATTAATGCTCTCAAAAAAAAGGTCTCTTAGAAGCTATGTGCTGCAGACTCGGAGTAAGAGCTCCAAAATAGAAAGCAGAGGATCAGCATGTGATTCTTCATTCTACATTCCCAACAAGGCTTCCCTCAGTAGCAAACAGCAGCTGTAGTTAAAAATAGAAAGTGATAAGCAACTAGGATCTTTAATTAAACCCAGAACTCACCCTCCGTAACAGCAAGAAGTTCAAAGAAACAATGAAGTCTCTCCAGTTCCTTAGTGCTGAGGCGTTTGTGTCAGATGCTGAGTTTGCAAGGAAGAATCTTGGCAGCGTTGCCCATAATCTTTTTCCTCTTCTTTTTAAAGCCAGCTATTTACTGGAGCAAACGGAAGTGATTCATGACTTGGTTGAGACCTGGCCACTTGCTGACTTTAATATAGGAAAACTTTTGGGAACTACTGTGGACTACCAGGAAGATCTGAGCCATAGAAGATGCTCAGTGTGCTTGGAGAGCTGTCTAACAGGGCTGAGAGACTATGTATTGAATCATCCTTCTCCCTGTGTGAAAAGGTTGAAAGTGGTGGACCTGACAGGTATAAAGGATGTCGAAGTTCAGCTTTGTGAATGTAAGAAGACAATGGGGAGGTGGGCCAGGACTAAGCTGCTCTCAAAGCTTTGTCTAGAAGTGCTGGTCCACCTGCAACAAACGCAATGTAAGCCACGTGCCTTTGAAATCAGTATTGATGTGCTAATAGACTTGTTTGTCACAGAACGCAACTATGAGCTGGTGGTGCAGGCCCTGCTGCAGAAACGTTATTGTCCACTGAAGATCTGCTGTGTGGCATTTAGAGCTGACAACCTGGCTTTGCAGAAATTCTTCTACATCATAAAGCTCACTGATCCTTCTTTGTTGCGCAAACTGGAAGTAGTTCACAATGTTCGCTTGGAAATGGAACACTTGGAAATACTCTTCAACAGTATTCACTTCCCTCTACTGATGTCTTTGACCTTGCCAGCTCGCACATTTAATGTGCGGAGGCTCACAGCTACAGATGAACTGATGCTTACTGCCATTGGAAAAAAGATGGGTGAAATGACGCAACTGACTGAGCTCAGTCTGGCATTTTCTATACTCACAGGAAGAATACGGAAGCTGCTCAGGTAACTTGCTTATCTTACTGTCAGTCAAAATGTAAAGAACAGCAACGAGTGCCATCAGCAATTTGAGAGCATTATAGAATATGTGAAGTGAGAATATCTCATTTCAGGTGCGTGAGTATGAGAAGCAGAAAACTAGGAAAGAGTATTTTGGGGGGAGAAGTCAATATATTGTCAAATGTAATCAGAAAAGCTGATTGCTCTTGTTAGTCTACCAGAGCCCATCTGATAAGTATGATTTGAATACGCTTTTGGCTCCTAACACAAGATAGAGATACACCTAGGTTTGTCACAATCAAGCTGATATCTCAGTTAGCTTGGGCTGGCCTTTGATACAAGATCTAAGTCATACTTGGTGTTTTTTTCAGGATTTCTAGTGAATGTTTTTCCTCTAAAAATTGGACAGTAAATACAGATTTCACAGATAATTTATTTTTACACAGCTAGAGGAATATTAGACTGATTAGAGACTGATTTCAATTGTTCATTGCATTTTCCAGTCTCAGGGTAGGAGAGATCTGATGCCTTTCTCTACTGCAAATTAAGCTAACCCATGAATATTCATAATTATTTCCATAAAAGAATGGCCATTCCTAAAAATATAACAAGCTACCAGTGAACTGTGTTCATATCTGAACTGAAAATCAAGTTGAAAATGTGCTTTCCAGGGCATCGGAAAAAAGGACAGACAGAAGTTTTGAAACAAATCAGCTTGGTCTAAAATTCCTCCTGTACAAAGAACACACTTCACTTAAATGTTGGTAAGAGATCCAACAGTGGATATTAGCAGAGGAAGGTGGTGGTATGTTTCAGCAGTGGCAACAACGATGTGAAAAACAAGCCATTTTCCAGACTTCCATGCAGATTGTCATGGTCACAGCATGCAGACTATTGCCCATTACTGGTGAAAATGGTGGCGACTATGTTGAAAAAATAATTTTTTGGAGCTGAGAATTTACTCACTATTGTGCTCTTTGTAACTGTTGTAGTTTCCATGGAAATAAATAAGATGCATTACTTTTGGAGCGACATGCATAAATGATGAGTTTCTAATCTTTTTCCATTAGAGACATGTGGAAGAATTCTTGTTGAGGTTCTTTTTCCATTTTCATCAGTTAATATTATTTTATATCCAACCAAAACATTTGCATACAATCCCAGGTACACTTTTCCCAACCATCTTCTTCATCAGAATGTCTGTTTGAAAATTCAGAACAAAATTACATGTAAAACTCTTGGGCAGTTAGACATAAAGTAAAAACAAAACTAGAAATAAATACCGATATGTTAGAATGCTGATTGGCTTTCCTCTTGGACTGAATCCTTCCTTAACAGACATGATTGAAATCTCATGAATGATAACATCTTCGTGAAAGAAGTCACTGATGTTTTTATTGTAGTAATGATCTGTTATTAATTCAGCAAGTAATGGAACCTGACAACATATAAATGTTTACAAAATATACACATAGATTGTTACAAAATCAATTCCCTTTAAACCAAAACATTTGGAGTTATGAAAGGCTTGGGAAGCAAAATATGTTTCCCATTATTGGCATATGCTTCATTCTAAAAGGAGATTAAAAAAAAAATGATTGCAGCTAATAGCTGCACTCATAATACAGAGTGTGAAATTTTGTGAAAATAGTTTTTCAGAGTTTCATGGCATAAAACCTTTTCTTTTTAATTCTACAGCCCACTAAAAACTCCACTGAAGATGCTGGATGTTTCTAACTGCTCATTGAACCATGCTGATATGATCTATTTAGCCAATAGTATCCATTCTTATCACTTGGAAACACTGGACCTGAGCGGGCACAATATTCCCGAACTTTATCCATCAGCATTCTTTAAGCTTCTTAGCCATTCCTCTCCAGTGCTTAGGAGTCTTGTCTTGGAGGACTGTAACATCCAAGACACTCATGTCAACATGTTGATCATAGCATTAAGCCCTTGTCAGAAACTGCAGGAGTTTAAGTTTCTTGGAAATCCACTGTCATCCCAAGCACTTAAACACCTTTTCACATTTCTCTGCGAGTTGCCAGTGCTGAAAATTGTGGAGTTTCCAGTTCCAAAGGACTGCTACCCTATTGACATCACCTACCCAATTGACGATGCCAGTCTCTGCAGATTTGATCATCAAAAATATGACAGTATAGCAGAGGAGCTTAACTTCATTTTACTACAAGCAAATCGGGAGGATGTGAAAGCTTCAACTCCGCTCTTTGGCAGTTATGATGCAGCCGTTCAGGAGACAAATGATGAACTGGGAGCTTATTTGATCAAGTCCTTCAAAGAGACTTTAGAAAAGTTAACTACTTCTCTTAGCAAAATGAGTTAAATGTGTAACATGTTTTCAATGTTGGCCTGACAATCAGAAGGTAGTTTATTCTTTTCTGGAACAATGTCCTTCATTGATCAGTCTTCAGTTTTCTTTAGTTTCTGGGCTGAATTTATGTTGTTTTAATAGCTCATGGTCATCAGAGGTTTTTTAACTGTCCTACTGCATAATATTTATGTAAATACAGCTTGTTCTCGAAAGAGGGGAAAACCCTCAATGGTTTAGTATTTTACACAAAAAGCATTTTGTTTCTTAGTAAAACAAGGTGTCTGAAATTGGCTACTTTCTTCTACAGTTTTCTCCAGACTTGAGAATGAGGCTTGCAGCTAAACAGAACAGACAAGAAAGTCTTTCCCCAGGTCCAGCAGGATCCCTCAATGACTGTATATTCTCGTACTGAGGGCCCCAGGCCTGGACGCAGCGCTGCAGATGGGGCCTCACAAGAGCCGAGCAGAGGGGGACGATCACCTCCCTCTCCCTGCTGGCCGCCCCTTTTTCATGCAGCCCAGAGCACAGCTGGCCTTCCGGGCTGCAGGTGCACACTGCTGCCTCATGGCCAGCTTCTCGCCCACCAGGGCCCCGAGTCCTTCTCCACCTGGCAAATTGAATGACTCACTGATAGCAGAGGATTCCCCTTCACCTCGCTCCAGCAATACAAAGTAAATCTGGCAAAACGTATTTTACAAAGAAGTTCTGGCACAGTTCTGCACAGTTGCGCTTGTGATATCAACAGGCAAGCACCTCAAGATGCTCCCTTTGTGGAATTTGTGGTTTTGGCCATTAGAATATACCCGGCTGCTCTCAGCTGTTTTTCAAAGATAGCCTAGGAGAACAGTAGTAATAGAAAAATGAGTCGTGTGGAAAAAAATGAATCAAAAGACAGTTTAGAATTGTGGAAAAGGGGTAGGGAAGGCTGCTAAATAAGTACATAACTTACATTCTTCTTTTTAGTATATTTGATCCATTGAATGTATGATGGGAAGACTGCAATGAATGGACTTGAACCATTTGTGTTTACATAGTGCTAAAAAAAAAAACTAAAGGAAATCCAAGTTGCCAAGCCAAACATTCATGGCATAGAAAAAAGAAAAAAGTCTAGTTTATATTTGCACAAAGTTCCAGATCAGCCCTTTTTCTTGCCTCCCTTTGACCTTTTGTATGAGGACTGACAGCTGACCTAGGCAACTGACTACTAATCTTAACATTTTCCTCCCTCTGATCTTGCTGTTCTTTCTATCCTGGTCTAGACTCAAGTTTTCTCAGCCAAACCAGTAGATGGTTTGAATTTTGTGAGACCGAAGATCTGCATCTTTGGTGTGAGAAGTAGCACATTTTGTTGATCAGAGAGATTATTCCCTTTAGAATAGATGTAAACCTACAGGTAGTAATTTCTGCATACTGGCAGCAGGCTAGCTAAAATACTGTGTCTGAAAGTGAAGACTGTTTTAGAAGCATACTGTGCTCCAGCAACCTGGCCCTGCCTATTTCAATGCACACAAAATAGTTTGTTCATAGATTACTTCTTATTTAGGAGTATTTATATGCCTTATGAGTACTGCAGCTTTCTCACTGCTTTCTTCTTGCCAAAAAACAATCCTTACCCACACTTTTGTTTACTTATTTATCACAAACTTCTCCCCATTTTCCATTATCAATAATACGCACACTGTGCTGTCAATTTATGTCTGTCTGGGCCAGAAGGATGTGGAGACACTAAAAAGTTTCAGTGCCCATTCCACACTGAGGATTAGTAGTTGTTAAGTCTTTTTCAAATATTCCCTTTTAGAATGAACAATGGGGGACACAGCATTAAAGAAGTAATGCACATGCATCACTACATGCAGAGTGGTTGCGAATGACTTACATGTGGTGGAGCACATGGATCCATGTGTCCAGTATCCTTGGATCCTGTTTTTGTGAAGCCATTTGCTCTGCAGCATCATTTTCAAGGCTTTGTGAGTTTCTACATGGGCTGTTCCAAAAGTAATGGCTCCTATCTTATTATATTGGTCTACAACATCAGAGGTGGATGTTCATGGTATGGCAGTAGAGGTCAAACCTTCCCACAAAGATTCCATTATATTTCATTGCAGTGCAACAGATGACAACAGAGGAGCAGTTTAACAAAATTGTGACTGATGCAGAAGTGCATATGAAGATAAGAATTGGAACTTAGTTCCTTCATGTGGAAAAAATTGCAGTTGTTTACACTCATTCATTGACACTTGCTGAATATTTATGTAAACCAAACTGTGGACGTTAGTACAATAAAGCAGTGGGTGATGTTTCAGCAGTGGCATCAAGGACATGACAGACAAGCCATGTTCCAGATGGCAATGCACAACTGTCACTCCATGAAATGAAGTGTGTCTCAATCAGCTAATCCATGCAAATAGGTGGATTATGACCAGGAAACTGTATATGGAGCTGAATATTGGCTTCAATGCATTAGAAATGATGGCGGCAACACTGGGATATTGCAAAGTTTGCACCAGGTTGTCCCATGAACACTCACATGGGGAAAGAAAGAACACCATATGCAAATTTGTCAGGACCTATTGAACCAGTTACAGACTAAAGGTGACAGTTTCCTGGAATGCATCATTACTGGTGACAAGATGTGGTGTCACCACTACAAGCTGGAGTCAAAACGGTAGTCCATGGAGTGGTGACATGTGAATTCTTCATGGAAAGGAGCATTTGAGATGCAGTCCTCAGAGGGTAAAGTAACATGTAACGTCACTGGGGACAAAAAAGTGGTGACCCTTTCAGATTTCCCAGAACCTGGACAAACCACTTCTGACCACTTCATCACAATGCTGACTAAGATGAAGGCTCAAACTTGCAGTCAGGCCAGAGATGGATAAAAACTTTCTCTTGCAATATAATAATGTCAGGCTCCGTACCAGTTTGAAGACTGTGGAGCACATTGACTCTCTTGTTTGGACTTTCCTACCACACCCACTTAATAGTCCAGATTTAGTACCTTGTGATTTCCATCTTTTCAGACTGGTGAAAGATGTACTCCACAGGCAGCATTTTCCTATCATGGCATCTGTAAAACGGTGTGTCACCTCTGCTGGTGCAGATTTTTAAGAGTGTAGCTCTTGTTCATTGCTGGTGATTAGGTTGAAAAATAGTGTTTTGTCGCTGAGAATCAGCTCAATCAAGTAGTACTATGTTGCTCTCTGAATCAATTGCAGTTTCCATGGAAATAAATAGGAGGCATTTTTTTCAGAGCAGCGACATGAAATGCATTCTGATAGGACCGAAGCAAAATTTTTATTGTTTACAGTTACATGTTAAAGTTGTAGTCTATGAAGTGTAGTATTAACTAAAATACCTGCTTTGGTAGTGTAGAAACCAAAAGGCAGAACTTCAACAACCGTGAGACCCTGCTAGTCTGATTTCCACCGTTATGGAATGGAGTCGGTTTTGGCTTTGTTTTGTTTGCTGTTTGTTTTGGTTTGGTTGTTTTTTTAAATTTTGTTTTTTTAAATTTTGTTTGTCCCTTTACAGCTAATTTTTTTCCAAATTTTGAAAAGCTTCTACTTTTGCTTTGATAACAGTTGCTTCTTTGCAAAAATCCCATCTTTAGCTCTCAGGCATTTAACTTTCATTTCTTCAGTTTCTTCCTTAATTATGGTTATTAGTGATGCTTTTAAATACAAACCAAGACGTACATTTTCTTGCTGACCAGGCTTACTGTAACAAGAACGTGTGCTCTCTCCCAGAAGGATTCCTGTGTATCTCCTGTTCAAGAACTGCTATTTATATTCTGGGCCTGGTCTTTATTCCTCTTGCCATGTGTGTGGGACTTCGCATTTTGTTGTTACAGTAGAAGCTCCAGTGCAACAGCTACCTAAGTATTAAAGGTTATCCTGTGCAGGAGTAGACAGGTATCAGTTTAGTCCATCTCCTCCCAAAGGACAATCTTTCTATGTTGCACCAACCTGGAGCCTTGTAGTCGATATTGCTAGCTATGGATATTTTAAATTATGGAACAGGACTCAAAATGCTATGAGATTTTTAAAATAAATTTGTTTTATTGTTGTTTTACTTCCATGCTGTTAATTACAGGTTTATATGGTAAGCAATTCTCATATTTAGATTTATTATTGAGCACAAAGTTCAATAAAGGATCAACTCCTTTTGCTGTTTTTGCAAAAGATGAAATTCTTATGTTTGCAAATTTTGAGCTGTCTTAGGCAGTAAAATAATGCAGTATAGGACAAAAATGTGTACAGTTTCACAATACTGTGATACTAACGCTCCATTTATGCAGCATTTATACTAAATAAAATAAGATTTCTAAAGTTGTGGTCACTCAACAGTTCCAAATGCTTGTAAATACTAAACACTATGAAATGAGGTATGTGTAGATTTATTTTGACAAAATCAATGGAAGTTGTTATAAAGATCCTTCCTCTTTGTGCAGAATTTTGTTTTCAGAAGCCCTTCATGGCAAAACAGCCACACGCCATGAAGAATAGTTTCCATTATAGGTGAGATGGTTGGCAATTCCTTGGTAGCAAAGAAATTTTCCCTTATGAATTAATATAATGCTGGGGCAGGGACAGAGTACAGCTGCTGTGAGAAACAGAAGCTGTCTATGTGTGTTCTGATTTCAAGTGTGACTGGGCAAGGGGATCTTTCTCCCCTTTGGGGGAAAAGAAAAGGAAAACAACACAGTCAAGATAAGGAGAGAGAACAAATTTACTACAGATGGTAGAATGTAAGATAATAATAAGAAAGATAGTTACTATTAATGACTCAAACGGGAGAGAGAGGAAGGCTACAGCTGTGCTGCTCACTGTGCTGCTGAAATCTGGAAGTGTCTCACCCCCATCACCTAGAATTGGGGATCATGTGGAGGCTCCTTAGGAACGTAGTACATCTCAGTGTAGCTTCTTCTTGGACAGCCAGAACTTACGTGAGGCTGCTAAAAAATCAAGAAGCACTGCTCTGCAGTGCACTGTGCGTCTGCACACAACAGCCTGTGGCAAGATGTCATGACATGGAATATTGACATAACCAGGACAGCGTGTGTAGGGAAACCTTGTATAGCATAGAGGATTTTGAAGCAGAATGGGAAAATGGAAGAAATATTGGCTTTTAGGAATGAACAACAGGTCTGAAAGATTTTCACCGTTTCAGCAACGAAGCTGAAGCAATTTTTTCTTCTGAGCATCCTTGCTGCCTCTTTCTGAAAGGTTATGTTGCAATCATCACCATCTTCCTTACGGGAATCAAGATCAAATAAAAGTGAAAGATGGAAAAGAAGGTAAAGGTGGCAATTAGCAAAGTAAGTTATTAAATAATTGGTGACAAACTCTGAAGTAATGGATTGACACATAGACTATGGTGCTGTATCAGCCATGCAAAGTGTTACTGTCTTCTGTAATCCCGAAGACTCATATTGGCTTTTTTTAATTTATCTGCCTTAACAGTTTCAGCTGTGCACATTTCTCTTTAGTGCAACCACTTTCAGAAATGGCATGCTGCGTGAGAAAAGCTATTCATCTTCCAATTCTTTGGAGGAGTTTGGGAGCAAAGCCAACCCCCTTCCTGAAAGTCTTCCTTTGCTATTACATTTTATCTGCCTTGGTGAAGAGCATCTCTGCAGGTAGCATAACTGCAAGACTGAACAACAGAGGACTGAAAACAGGAGGGTGCTACTGTGGCAATGAAGATAATACTCCCTTTAGATGAGATAATAAAATCATGCCAACATAAGTGATAGAAAGCTATGGTTTGTTTTTTAATTGAAGCTACTGACTACACAGATTAGCTCATAAGACAAAGCTTGCTCAACAGCCCCTACCTCGTTTGCTTTAGAACTCTGACTTCTGCCTCTACAAAGCAGAGATCCACAAGTTTACCAATTGACCGCCCTTCAGAGTGTGAGGGAAACTACATAGGGTTTCTAGGGTGAGGATTCTATAAAATAGAGGATCCAGGTGGGCTGAGAGTTTTGGAAAGGTGGTAGATTGCTCTTTTGCAGAATCAGCCTTCCTCAGTCTCACATGGTCTGCAGTGGTATGAGATAATCTGAATATGTTGTAGATAGTGTGGGGAAGGAAAAGTGGTTCTGTTATAGGAATTCAAAGAAGTAACAGGTCTGACAGATGGAAGAAGTTCTCCAAAAGTGTGGGCTAGTTAACTTGGAGTTAACTAGGATGGTTAACTCCAAGGAGACAGCTAAGCAAGACACAACTGCTCACTCATCCTCTCCCCTAGTGGGATGGAAGAGAAAACTGAGATGGTAAAAGTGTGAGAACTTGTGGAGTAAGATAAGGACAGTTTAATTAGGTAAAGCAAAATCTACGTACACAAGCAAAGTCAAACAAAGATTCACTGTTTCCAATTGGCAGGCTGATGATCAGCCATTTTCAGGAAGTAGGGCTTCACCATGCATAATAGCAAATGCCATAACTATGGATGCATTCCCCGCTCTGCCTTTTCCTTCACCCAGCTCTTAGGCTGAGCATGACATCATGTGGTAGCAAATACATCTGTGGTCACCTGGAACCAGATGTTCTGGCTGTGTCCCCTCCCATCTTTTCGTGCATCCTCAGCCTACTTCTGCTGGAGCATCATGAGAAATGGAGCCTTTGATGCTCTGTAAGCACTGTTCAGCAATGACTAAAGCACCTGAATAGGAACAGTAGAGTCAGTTTTGAAGATTTTTATGCAAATTAATTGTGAACTGAGTGAGTATCATGAGAGAATGGTTGGTCACTGGAACAGGGGCCCTCTCAGGACAGTAGTAACCAAATTCAGGAAACATTTGGACAATGCTCTCAGAAAGATGGCTTCAATTTATGACGGTCCTGTGTGGAGCCAGGATTTGGACTTGATGATCCTTGTGGGTCTCTACCAACTCAAATTATTCTATGACAGTTACTTTTGTTCATCAGTGTATTATCAACACTGTTTTGATCAAAATCCAAAACATAACAGCATACAAATCACTGTTTATTATTTAAATTAACTCTATCCCAGTCAAATCAGTACACACGGAAAAACCAACTGTGCATTTGCAGAAGGAAGAAAATGAAGGAAAATTAGGAGGGAGAATGTAGTAAAAGAGTGAGAACAGGAAGAAGGTTAAGAACCGACAAAAAGTGCTGGATTAGGAAGGGCTAGTGAAAGAGGAGAAATGGCTTCTTGTCTTCATAAAAAAGACATCTGGAAGTCTCTCATTATCCCTCCTACTCAAATCAGAGCCAGCTTTCAAGTTAGATTAGGTTCCTTATTCTAGATTCTATGCTAGCTTTGAATGTGTATAGGATTAAGGTCTGAATATCACATCAGTGCATTTCTATTTTCCTAAACTTGAAGCAGACTGTAAAGTGAACATAGTCACTAGGTTTGCTTGTCAGCTTCATAGCTGTATTAAGAGAATGCTGAGAACTGAATAACAGTCAATGTACTCTGCATTTGGCCACACAGCTTCTGGAGGTGCCATTCATGTAGTTCAGTCTCCTGTGACAAGTTGTGCCTAACTTAGAAACAGCTTGCTTCCGATTTCCTCTTAAGAGGAGAGTTTAAACCTCCTAATTCCTGACACTTTTTTATTCTCCATTTCATAGCTGCAAGCTGATAACTGTTTCACTGTACAAAAGTTTTCACCCAGTTTGCTCTCTGCTGTCAGTTTATCATACCTCCATTCTCCGAGTCAGAAAACAGTGAGAGAGCTACAGTGTAGGTCCTAGAGTCCAACCAGAAGACAAACTACCATTAAGGTAGGTCCAAAGCCAGCTCAGGTGGCAGTAGCACCAGAGATGGGCAGTCACACTTGTAGCATATATCATAGATTGAAATGTTTGGTCTGATCTTCAGTAGAGTTCCCGGCACAACAAGGAGAGAGAATGTGCAGAGGTTCCTGATGAGGCTTCTTACAATGATCAATTGGTATGCTTAATATCCTAATAGTCTGCTACCTTTTTTTTTTTTTTCTTTTTCATCAAAATGAAGGGAAACTAATCTAAGAAAAGAACAACTCAGAATTTAAAGAACTTGGCAGTATTGTCTTTACACCCATATTAAGAGTGTCAGAATCTGCTTCTTAGCTGTGGTTCGGGCTTCATTGTTATGGAGGAAATGAAGAGCTGATCTTGACTGCCCTTCTTTGCCTAGATGTTATCATGTTGTGACTAGAAATAAATTACCTGAGAGATTAATGCATAAGACTGTTTTTCAAAAAACTTCTGGTAAGGCACATTTGTATAAATTTATTAGTATGTGTAAACGCTGTCCATACTATTACATTTATTACTAGTTTCATCTCTCTTATTTTCTTTTGTAACTACTCATTTTGACTTCATAAATATGAGCTGTTGTCATTGTAAGAAATGATAAAATAAAAACACAGATCTCAGTTTTTGCTTTAATCACCTCAATATTGTACGCAATTTTACAGTTTACAGTATAGTGTTACAGTTATCTTGTAATTTCTTCACATATTCAGCTTTCTTTCACACTATTCTGAGTGCTCGTTGTCACATAGAAGGAATGAGAAAATTGAGGTCAAATTAACAAGGGGATAATGAATTCCTGAGAAAATGTTACTGAGGAGTTGCCAAGAATGAGGCAAATGAACATCTGCACTGGATTATAATGCTCCAGGAAATCTAAAACGAGTCTATGCTAAAAGAACACTGCTAATCTTATTGGTTTCTTTCCATTTCTTCTTTGTTTATACTTTTTTGGATCCAAGGAAACACCAGTTTCTTTATTAGTACCATGACTGTCCAGATGTGCAAACAAGTGCTTGTAAAATGCCATTTTTATATATGCTAAAATCAGGACTAGTAGCAACAATGAAAAATAATGCAAAGCTTCAGTTATTTTTTTTTGAGAAGTCACCTTTGTAGATGCAAGCCTCAATTATGCTCAGTCGTAACAGCTAATATAACCTGGAAATGATTCATTTAGTGCCCTCTCTCTTGCTGTTTTTAGCACTTCAAGGGAGAAAATTACTGAGTAACAGAGTAGAACAGAGTAGTTCTGTGATCAGCATGCATCTTGGTCTGAGGAAGAACTTCATGCATTTGCACAGAGCCTGTGCTGGTTGCAAATTAGTCACACGACGCTTAATGCGCTAAGTTTTACATTAAAAATTCAACTATTTTCTGCTTTTTGCAACTGCACCTGTGGTCCAAAA